ATTCCTTACCCGTCCTGGCTAATAGCCATTAATGGACTTAACCACCATGAATTTATCCAGTTCTCTTTTAAACACTGTTATAGTCCTAGCCTTCACAACCTCCTCAGGCAAGGAGTTCCACAAGTTGACTGTGTGCTGCGTGAAGAAGAACTTCCTTTTATTTGTTTTAAACCTGCTGCCTATTAATTTCATTTGATGACCCCTAGTTCTTGTATTATGAGAATAAGTAAATAACTTTTCCTTATCCACTTTCTCCACATCACTCATGATTTTATAGACCTCTATTATATCCCCCCTTAGTCTCCTCTTTTCCAAGCTGAAGAGTCCTAGCCTCTTTAATCTCTCCTCATATGGGACCCGTTCCAAACCCTTAATAATTTTAGTTGCCCTTTTCTGAACCTTTTCTAGTGACAGTATATCTTTTTTGAGATGAGGAGACCACATCTGTACGCAGTATTCGAGATGAGGTCGTACCATCGATTTATATAAGGGCAATAATATATTCTCCGTCTTATTCTCTATCCCCTTTTTAATGATTCCTAACATCCTGTTTGCTTTTTAGACCGCCTCGGCACACTGCGTGGACATTTTCAGAGAACTATCCACGATGACTCCAAGATCTTTTTCCTGACTTGTTGTAGCTAAATTAGCCCCCATCATATTGTATGTATAGTTGGGGTTATTTTTTCCTATGTGCAGTACTTTACATTTATCCACATTAAATTTCATTTGCCATTTTGTTGCCCAATCACTTAGTTTTGTGAGATCTTTTTGAACTTATTCACAGTCTGCTTTGGACTTGACTATCTTTAGCAGTTTAGTATCATCTGCAAACTTTGCCACCTCACTGTTTACCCCTTTCTCCAGATCATTTATGAATAAGTTGAATAGGATCGGTCCGAGGACTGACCCTTGGGGTACACCACTAGTTACCCCTCTCCATTCTGAAAATTTACCATTAATTCCTACCCTTTGTTCCCGGCCTTTTAACCAGTTCTCAATCCATGAAAGGACCTTCCCTTTTATCCCATGACAGCTTAATTTACGTAAGAGCCTTTGGTGAGGGACCTTGTCAAAGGCTTTCTGGAAATCTAAGTTCACTATGTCCACTGGATCCCCCTTGTCCACATGTTTGTTGACCCCTTCAAAGAACTCTAATAGATTAGTAAGACACGATTTCCCTTTACAGAAACCATGTTGACTATTGCTCAACAGTTTATGTTTTTTTATGTGTCAGACAATTTTATTCTTAACAATTGTTTCGACTAATTTGCCCGGTACAGACGTTAGACTTACTGGTCTGTAATTGCCGGGATCACCTCTAGAGCCCTTTTGAAATATTGACGTTACATTAGCTAACTTGGGTACAGAAGCCGATTTAAAGGACAGGTTACAAACCTTAGTTAACAGTTCCGCAACTTCACATTTGAGTTCTTTCAGAACTCTTGGGTGAATGCCATCTGGTCCCGGTGAATGACTCCCCCACACAGCTACCCCTCCCATGCTCCTCCTCCCCCACAACTCTCCCTGCCCCCCGAACAATCCCGTCCCTCCCCCCACAGCTACCCCTCCCATGCTCCTCCTCCCCCCACAACTGTCCCTGTCCCCCACAGCTACTCCTCCCATTGCTCCTCCTCCTCCCCCCACAACTCTCCCTGCCCTGCCCCACCCCCCAGATCTACCCCTGCCCCTCCTCTACACCCTACTCTCCATCCTATTTGCATACATTTGCATACTGTTAAACACTCAGCCCCTTCATTGGCTGCTGACTTTGCCCCCACGTGCAGCTATTTGCATACACGACACACGTCGCAGGCAATTGGTGAAGAAATCTGCATCTCATTACCTCGCTCTCCTGCCCCTGCCTAATTTCCATGCGCCTCCATAGTAGTCTTGGGAGAGTAGCTAATTAGCATATTTGCATACACGCCGAAGCGACTAATGAACTAATTTGCATATTATTACTTCTTGCATACTAATTACACCTAGGCGGTCCCGCCCACTTCCAGCCATTAAGAGTCTTTAGGCTGAATAATTGTGCATGTCATTAGCCCGCCCCTAATGAATAATCAATGACGCCGCTCCGGGTGACGCACCCCCTCTCCCGTCTGAGGGGACGCCTGCCCCGCGCCGCCGCCTGCAGTGCGCATGCGCTCCTCCGCCGGGCGGGCAATGGCGCGCGCGCCCAGAGCTCCAGTGCGCATGTGCTGTTGGCGCTGGCTGCCAAGGGCCCGGCGCGAGGGTGCAGAGCAGTTAACGGTCGTTCTATTCTGAGCATTCCAGTGAGCCCGCGTTCGCGCCGGACCTTCTGATTGGCTGCGTCGGCGAGCCAATTGCGATCCGCGGAACGGCCGTGTTGCTGGGCAGGGCAGAAGGAAGACGGGGTGAAAGGGAGATTCTGGTTGGCTGTGGGCGAAGGGCACTAGACGCAAGATGAGAAATCGCTGAAATATCGATATAATTTACGGCGGGCCATGGACTGGGGCGGGGCCTGGCCTTGGGGGAGGGGCCACGTGCTGGGGCGGGGCCTGGCCAATGAGGGCGGGGCCATGTGTTCAGGTAGGCTGGACAGCCCTGGCCAGTGGGAGAGAGAGCTTTCTAATTAGACAGAAAATTCTGCACTGTGATTGGTTGGCCCTATTGACCAATCCGAGAGCAGTCCATGTTTTATTTACCGTTGTACTCCATATCCCTGTGTTCTGATTGGCTGGGGGCCAATCACAGCTCTGCATGTTTTGGGCCAGACCCATGCTCCTGAGTGCTGATTGGCTACAAGTTCTTGACCCATCGTTCCAGAGAGCATACCCCCCGCCCCCCCGGGCTCTCTCTGCTTTCGGATTGGCTGAGGAGATCAAAGGATTCATCTCTGTCCAATATGCGCAATCCCTGTGTTCTGATTGGCTGGGCTGGATTACATCTTGTATCCTCGCGCCTCGGGCTGGCAGCCACTGGCCAATCAGAGCAAAGGAGATGTCAGCGGGCTCAGGCTGCACTCTTTGCTGACTGGCTGTATGTTATCGGCCACGCCTCTGTGGTCTCTATGGTTACCAGCAGCCAGCCAGTGAGATGTCGTGCCTAGGCCCAAGGAGCTAGTGGGCCTCTGCGGCCACTTCCAATGGACTGGGGCCTTGCCACGTGCTCGCTTCTGGCGGTCATTTCCGGTAACACTGCAGCTCCCCCGCCCCTGCAGTGCGTTTCTGTCCCATGTACAGGACTAACTTCCGGTGCAAAGTTGCAATGGCGACTTCTCACGTCGTCACTTCCGGAAGCCCGTGCGTCAGAGTCCTTTAGTCCCTCGTGTGGCCCCGTAGCGCCGGCAGGGCGGGGCCAGGGCTCCTGCGCCGTCGCTTATGGCAACAGAGGGACGCGCGCGAGCAGGGCGGGGTATCGCGGGACGTCGGGGCAGCGGCGGCGAGCGGGCGAGCGGCGTGTTCTGCGGACTCATGAATATTCATGAACTGGTTTGGTGCTAATCAATATTCATGAGATGTGAACAGCAACGAGGGCGATCGTGACCTAATCAATATGCATATTTCAATAATAAGGGACAGGTCTTTTGAATAATTTGCATATTTGAATGTCAATTGGGGGTGGGACAAACTCAGCCTAATTAATATGCATGTTAGTTATTAACGAAGGGGGTGGGGCCCCACTTCAATGAATATTCATGAGGAGCTGGTCTCTACCAATCATGGGCTGGGCCTGAGGATCATTAATATCAATTAAGCAGATGACTATGCACTGTCATGTGGTATAAGCGTTTGCATGTTAATGAGGGTGTCAGGCCCAGCCTCCAGCTCGGCCTCGCTCTCAGGTGCTGAAGCCCCGCCCCCGAGGGACGGCTCTGGGTTGGACCGTGATCAGTAGGTTT